TAGAATAACTTTTATTTTTTTTTTTTGAGAAATGAGACACATTTATTATCAGTGACATTTCCAGATGTGACAGTTTTCTGGAAGAGGATCTGGGCTCTCTCTCTCCCAAGAGGTATTCCTCCACTATAGCCAATGTCTTTCCCTCTGCCTGGACAGCTGAGATTGTCCAGAGGGAGGATGCCTCTTCCTCACCTACCACTGAGCAGATACACTTGTATCAGATTCAGGTTCTGCCAGTCTAGTGTGCAGACTTAGGACGGCATGACCTTCTCTTTCTCTGGATCTGGATCTCCAGCAGACTCCTAGCATTTCAGGCAGCCCCACTGCCTGATTTTAAACTACTCACCAACAAAAAATGGAGCAGTCCTTACCCTCCTCTCACCCTCAGGGCGGCAGTGCCCATACTCGTTGTAACAAGGCTGACTAGTCTGAGGAGTTTCTCTTGCATGAATTTGAGCATTAAATTCCTATGTTCAACTGCTGCATTGGTAGCCAAAGCAGCCTCTTGCTTGGGAACAATTCATATTTGTGAAGTAGTTTCTAGAAATTCCATGAAAGAGTGAGAATAACCCCCTATGTGCTACCTGGTTTGGTTTTGTTTTGAAGTTAATTTTAGTTTAATTTTTGAACTTCTGGGATTGATAAAGAAGGAGGAAATTTGTTTTAGATGAACCTTAAGAAATATTCAAGATGGAATAGGTAACATGATTTTCAACATGATCACTACCATTAATTGGTCTGCCTTGCTTTATTTAACATCATAAAAGTCTAGACAAAAGGAAGCTGTAATAACATTTTACATTTGTAGACAGGAAGACATTCTTATGTTCCAGGAAGGGACAGGGAGGGGAAGAGTGAAGAAAAATAGAAAGAAGAACTGCTGATAAGACCAAAAAAGGGAAAATGAATTCCTAAGGAAAGCTTGCAATTCTCAGGAGGCATGACATTGTCGGTGAACTGGAATATTCCAAATGCAACAGTGACAGCCTTTGCTTGATCCCTTTCTCACCAAGAGGTCTCATCTAAATCTGTCCAGGGCTCAGTATTTTTCAGTGACATATTCATCCCTCTCTCCCTTCCTCTCTGTCTCATGATCCTCCTTCCTTCCTTTCTCTGCCTTCCCTTCCTTCTTTCTTTTCTCCTTTCTTTCTTCCCCTCTTTCCTCTTCATTTTCTCTCTTCCCCCTTTCCTTTCTTTCTCACACACTTTCTTCTCTCTCTGGGTCAGATACTGTTTGCAGTGCTGAAAAGGAGAGAATACAACCACTTCTGAGATCTATTATTCACCCCATGTTAAATAACTGACCCAAAGGCTGAAAGGCAACTGGCATGAAGAGGTTCGGTGACTTTCCCAAGGTGGCTCGGGAAGGGTTGGGATGTGTCAAGGACTTTGAACATGCCACTCCACTATTCAATGCCTTCCCTGATTTCCTATTGCCTGGAATAATTCAGTGGAATAAAACTCCACTTCTGTAACATGGCAAACGGCCCTCTACAGTAAATGGCCCCAACCAATTCCCCAAATATATGTAACTCCAGCCATTTCCTGCAGGGCCTCAATAGCATCAACAGAATACTTACTATTTCCTGAACACCACTGAGCTCTGGTGTTTTGTTTGTTCGTTTTTGTTGCTTTTGCCTCTTGGTGATCATATGTATTGGAAGAGCTAGAGGAAAAAATGCCTTTTAGCTTAAGAAGGCATGAGTTATCTGCAAATTAATTTCAAGAGTAGAAAAATCCTCAGAATTATTTCTTAATACCAAAATGTATGCAGGTTTCTCTTTGAAATGCTTTGTAGATTTAAAGAGGCAGGTGTACAAAGTCTATTTCTATACAGGACAAATTCTTTGTGGCAGCCAACCTCCAGTGGAGGGAAAACCAGGACAACACCATCTCTCTGGATGAAAAGCATTGGGATACTCAGTTTTGTTGACTTACATATCTCTTCATATGTTTCGACATCAATTTTTATAGTAGCCAATTTTGACAATTTCTGCAACACGGTCCATTAAACGCCTACATTTTATTTTATAAGTAGAATACATAATTTCTTATCAATAAACTACAGAAGGAAAAGAAGATTCCTTATCTTCTTTTATGTATATATATTTTATATTCTTTATCCCATTACTGATGTTTCTCCTACTTCTGCCAACATAATATTTAAATGTTGATTATAAGCATGTAATCTGCTTTGAAGCTGCCAGTCGTTTTCTATTTTCATGTAAATTCTCTCATCTAGGCTGAGCCTGATAAGATCCAGGGGCTACTTTGTGGTTTTGGCAGTTTACTACTGGCCCACGTAATCTGCCATGTTTCAAATCTTATGCCCTACCCCCTGAATTCTTATAACTCTGACACATGCTTATTACATAAAACTTTGCTTGTTTTATTATATCCTTCCTTGACTAAAACTCCTACTCATCCTTCAAAACCCAGACTACCTCCTTTGGGAAACTTCTCCTGAAACTCACAGGATGAAATAGTTATTCTTCATTCTAAATGCCCGCAGGAAAATGCCCATATTTCCATTATAGCACTTATTGCATTGTGCTAACTTTTTCACACGTGTCCCACTCACTAGACTCTGAAGTCTCAACAAGAAACACTGGGGCGTTATTCACTGACAAATGCGGTGCTTGCTACCTAGCTTGTGCTCACTGTAATGAAGGGTGTATTTTATATAAGAAAAGCATCACTGATATACCTATGTACCATAACATCTGTAATGAGTTAAAGAATATAAAATACACACACACACACACACACACACACACACATATATATAAGAAGATAAGAAATCTTTTTCTTCTGTAGTTTATTGATAATTATAAGAAATACATATTCTACTTATAAAATTATTAAAATGTAGGAGTTTGATGGACTGTGTTGCAGGAACTGTCAAAAATTTTCTACCTTTATCCAACATTAGATCACATAGTTTTATAGTGAAATGTATGACCCAAATCAAATACTTGATAAAACTCTATGTATGTTGACCCTCTTAGCAATTTCTGACTTTTTCTTTTTTTTAATTTGTAAATTCAAGTGTGTATCTTTGGAAAATGTTATTTGGCTGTCAATATTTTAAACAATGTATATATGTACACATATGTGCATTATATGGTGCATTTTATATGAATATTCATTATATATATAGCACTTTATACTATATACATGTGTATGTCATACAATAAACTATACATATACACACATAGAGGAAGAAACCATATTTGTACATACTCTCTATATAAAATACCCACACAACATTGTCCACCACAGCACACTATTTATAATATATAGTTCCCTTATCCTTTGAGGGCAGCTGATGACTTTCAGGTAATGAGACTGAACGGTACATCTGGGCCAAAAAAGTGTTAATGCAGCTACCGAACTGCAAATGCTCTTAGCCAGTGAGAGTGCTCTGTCATGCAGTCCTGAGTTGAAGAGTTGAGTGTGTTCTACAAATTGTGTTTACTCCATTGTGATATCTCAATCATTTATTTATGCTTGAGTGAACAATTTTGAGTTATAATGACTGACAAATTGTGCAAGCGATAGTGTCATATCTGTCATAAAGAAACAAAACGTATTAAGCTAGAAGTTCAGACACATTTTATTATAGCTTGCAGCTTTTTTCAAGGAATTAGCAACTGTGTTAAAGATTAGCAGGCCATGAGGAGCTGATTCAAGTCTTTTGACATTATTAGGGGTATTAGAAGCATCCCTTCAAACTGGGAGGATTGACCTGGTATGGTCAGGTATGTCAAGACTTAAGGGATTTCAAGACACGTATGATTAAAGGGATTTTGTTAAAATATTACCCTAAAATCTTGATCCTTTAAGTGTTTTAGGATGTTGCTCCTTGATTCTTCCCCTCCAATTTCCCTTCTCTCCAAGTAAACAGGATATGCCTATATATTGCTTTGTATTCATTTCACTTGTTTAATTCATCTTTATTTCAAATTAAGATAAGTTTTTTTTTATATATACTAGATAGTAAGTTGTTGACATATGCTAGATATATGTACTAGATAAAAGTTTTTTGGTTTTTCTCACTTTCACTATCTTTTTTCTGAAGTGAGAAAGGTAATCATGATTTTTTTTTTTTTTTCATTTGAAACATGTTTTCTTAAGAGAGCCATAGAGTCAGTAGCTGTACATTAGAAGCAGAGTATCTGGAGGCAGCAGGGAGCACCAAGGGTTTGAAAGGGTCCTCAGTGATTCTAATGTACAGCCAGGACTGAAAATCACCACTCAGGAGAAGATGTATGTCTCTTTGTTATATAAAGAGTTAATTGGTTTCAGCTAGAACACTCTTTTGGAAAGCTTGCTCAGATGACTGGTCATCTCACATAATCCTCTCTCCCACAATTGCGAATTGCTTTTCTGGTAAATTCAGATGATGTTGTCTGTCCAGAATTCTCAAGCGGGAAAGACGCCCTATAAGAAATGTGAGTGTGGGCACTTACTCAGAGAATAATTTTTTAATTAAAAAAATTACATTGACATATAACTGTACACACTTATGAAGTACATAGTGACATTGCAATACATATAATGTATTGTGATCAGATCACAGTAATTAGCATAACCATAATTTCAAACATTTATCATTTCTTCGTGTTGGGAACATTCATTGTGTATTCATGGAATTGCTTTCTTTATACAAGCTCTTTCCTTTCCCTTGAATGTTGAATGAAGATTGCCTTTTTAGGAGATTAAAGAGATCTGCCTAAATCCCGTTTATCTCTGTATTAAAGAGGAGATGGGATAAGGATCTAGGCAACTCTGTCCAGTTGGAAAATCAGGAAGTTCAGAAACTGTAACAGCACAGCTTCATTGTGCTGCCCTGGGTGTTGTACACAGGTGACTTCATTAATGATTAACCACAGAGTCTGAATTGATGCGAGATGAAGGAAATTGAAACCCAGCATCTGTGTGAGGCTTCTGCTCTAGTTTGCACTCCAGAGTCTTATAGAAAATGTTTTTCTCCACAGGTTCGAACCAGCGTCCTACCAGAACATAAGGATCCTCCGCCAGAAGTTGGGGTAAGTCTTTCTTATGTTTCCAAAAGGAACACACATCACTTCTAAATTAATCATTTGGATTTTCTCTGGCCTCACGCCCAGAAAGTGACAATAAAATGCAATTACATTAACAGGGTGTGGCTACTCGAGGAGGCACTGTCACGTATTTGCTGAATTGCATGAAATTCTTTTTTTTCTTTTTTTTTTTTTTTTGTGCGTGTCCTGAAAATCATCCTCAAGTGAATTCATATTTAGTTCAGCTGGCTAGAGATAAGCCTAGACTTTGCCCTGCAGGCAGGTCAGCCACTTTCTGTGCTGTCCAAATACATGAAACTCATATATATTTGCTGTCCCACATAGAAGATAAACAGGATGTTCCGTTGTGTGTGTATTCTGTTGGCTCAGCCATCTCTCTGCTGATCCTTTCTACAAGCCCCAGCAGCATCAGGTACTGGATCATAGTCAATCATTCTCAAAGGAAAGGCAATCAATCAGTCCTCAGTGGAGGTAAACATGGTTTAGACACCTCTAGGCTTTATAAGTGATTTTTGGTGCCAGACCCTCTTAACTTCAGCTTTGAGGATAAAGGTATTTTCCTGGGAAATGATTAAGAGAGAAATTAGTCACATCTCCAAAATCAGACACCTTTCTAGATGCTGACCTCTTCTCTCTTCTAGTCCTACCTTTATAATGATTGGCTGTATTATAGCTACTTATAGACCAGTGTCTCTACACTGGCTTCTCATCAAGCATTTTAACAGGGTTGCTGGCCTCAAACACTGAAGGTTCTGTGGGCATACAATGGGGTACATTTATTATATTCTGTCCTCATATTTGACAAAATTCAGCTATGATTCCTGAACTAAAAGAGAAATCTCAACTAGTATCCTGTGACATTCCTATTTTAGCAATTAGGAAGGCATTCTAAGGCAAGTGACCTGACAAATTGTGGCTTGAAAGTAATTAATAGGTTTGCTTTTCTCATCTTATAAAAGTCTTGGGAAAATTGTCCAGGGCTTCAGCTACTCAAAAATGACTTCGAGTAATGACTCCATCCATCTTCCTGCTCCCTCTTTCTTAGAGAAGTGCACGGTCTGGCCATGGTATCCCAGGTATCACATTCTGGGTTGAGTGAAGAATGAAGGGCAAAAAACTCAGCTGGCCTGTTCCTTCAATTCTGGAAAACAGTAACTTCCTGGGAAATTTCATTTTGTATACTGTCACTTACATGGTATTGGGAAGACTAAGGTCCTTAGCTAGAAGAGAAGTTGAGTACAGTTCTCATCTAAACAAAATTGAGGTGCTATGATTGAAGAATGGGCAGAAAGGGTGTTAGGTAGGTGATTAGTTATACCTCCACACTCCTGCTCGATGTACTCCATGACAGCAAAGTCTTTCTAATACTCCTGGCTTTGTGTTTGGTATTGAATAAGTCAAAGAGCATACCATGATTTTATTTTGCCAACCATTTTATGTATATTTAGAATCACCAGAAATAAATGGGTGGGGAATTCTAGAAATGACTATAATAATGTAGTAAAAATCTAACAGCTTTTGTGACCCATCAGAACTTAAAATGGCAAGTATTACTTCAGAACTAAGTTTTGAGCATAACAGGAATAAGTTTAACAAAGAACAAGTCAGCATGCCTTGGCTTCCTAACACTCTCAGGTTATTTTAGAGAGAGAAGTTAACATATGCTGACCACCTATGAAGTACCACCTGTTAATAGACATCCTGTCAGCAAATCCTCAAAACATTTCCTTGGATGCTGCAAAACAGGTCTGAGAGTTTAAGCTCTTGGCCAAGGACACAGAGTAATGGCCCTGTCATTACGACATACAAAGGCTCTGCTTTTCAAGTACTCTAACTTTTTTCTAAAAGAGCTTAGACTTTTTATTGCAAATCTTTCATATGTTAGGTGTGTTTCTTTGCGTTCTCAAACAGAATTTACTGGATGTACTCAAATATTTTCTTGATGACTTAGTCAAACAAATATTAATATGTGCTCTTAGATCTTTTGAGGTATATTCACAAGTAAAGATAAAATTCTGTAATAAATGCCTTTACCTTAAAATGCTTTTAAATGTTTCCTTTGGGCTGTTCATCAACTTTTAGTAGATTTCTTCCCAATTATTTTTTCTTTCTGATGTATTTTTTCAATGTTAATAGTTCATTTAGTCTTTTTCTCTTCCTGTGGGGTAGGAAATAATGTAACCATATCTGTTATGGTTGACAGTTAAAAAAAAAGTACTTGGGCTATGAAAATATGAAAAGGCCTGCCTGTAAGTTATGTGTAGCAGATGTTGTGTATCAGCCTTATGATACCAACTTCAGCTTTTCAAAGACCTTTTAAAACTTACACCATGGTTTCTATATATAGTTTTATGAGGATAGGTTAAAATATTATTGATATATTTATTTACCCTCTAAACCAGCACTGTTCAATGGATATAATGTGTATCAGAAAATGCATGCCAAATATGTAATTTTAAATTTTCTAGCAGCTGTGTTTTTAAAAAGTAAAAAGAAACAGGATGAATTAATTTTTAATGTTTCATTTAACCCAATCTATGCGAAATATTATTACAAAGTGTAATCAATACAAAAATTATATATTCGTGTTCCTTTTTTCATACTAAGTATTTTAAATTCAGTATGTATTTTATACTTAGGGTATATCTCAATTTGGAGTAGCCACATTTTATGTGCTAAAGCTAGTGGCTGCCCATTGGGTAGCAAAGCTGTGGACAGTAGTTGAATAAATTTGAGGCGGTCCGTGCAAATTGTAATATAAAGAAAACCTGTGCTTTGAATAATTGCTTTGTCAGAAGAACATGAGTGATGGAGGTACGGCCAGCTGTGACCACATGTATGGGGTTGTACCTTCTCTGACTCCCTTAAATGCTTAAATGTGACTGGGGAGCCTCTGAGGACTGCTGCATGGAAGTGTCAAATCCTAGTGAGCAGTCTCAATATCTGTGACTTGCCTAGAGTGGCTGCAGGTATTGGTGGGATACACTGTTCATGTGGACACTCTCTGGGATTCTGACAGATGCCCTACTTTTTTTTTTTTTCCACCCTGTTTGACGTTACTCTCCAGCCAGGTGAGAGTGATTGAAATCATGCAGCAAGCAATTTAATCATCATCTGCTCTGGGGTTCTTGGGCCAGAATAACTGTGAGGGTTGTGTTGTCGTAAGCAGGCAAGAAAGGTCAGAGCTGCATGTTGTGCAAGCAGAGAGTCTGCCAGAAGGAAAGGGAGTTGCTACCAGTCCTAGAAATGGGGCACAGCATGGTGGGAATGAAAGCATGCTGGACAGAGAAGCAAGACACCTGGGTTCTAACTTGGCTTCTGCATATTAACTAGTGCTGTGACGTGTGTAAGCTAGTTTACTCTTAGAGGCCCCAGTTCCTTCATCTCCAGACTAGCAGGGCTTAACAATACTTAAGGTTCTTTAAACATTTGACGTAATCGAATACAATTTGCAGCTAATAGGGATCATAGATAAGATTTTCTCAATAATAATATTAATAACTGTATGGGACCTTAGGGCCTTTGTTTCTTCTTTTTTCATTTTTTTTTCTAAAATTTCTTCTAATTTATATTCCCCCAAATCTCATTTTTATTTTTAAACATACGTTTTTCTTTTTGTATTGCAGGCATTTTTAATAGACTTCTTAAAAAACACTGCCTTTCCCCAAAAGTATTTAAGGGGGATGTTAGATATTTTTAAGGCATCTGACTTCTGGTTGTATGATCTTAATCACTATGCATAGTTATATTTATGGTAAACTTTTTATTTTCCTGGAAATGTACTGGAGGCTTTTTTTTTTTTTTTTTTTGCCTGGATTACTTTACTTCTCATAGCAGTAACTATGGGAAAGATAAAGTTAACATATGCATTTTTTTCAGTGACTAAGGCCTAGGGTAGTGGCACAACTTGTTTAAGACCACAGACTTCATAAGCGAGAAGACAGGGAATTAGAACTCACAATGCTTAGCAGTAGATGATGGGCCTGGGGACTGGAATAAGTCATTTCTTGTCCAGATTTTCATTTTTGGACAGAATAACTGATTTAAGGTCACACTTCAGACCTCTGAGCTCCAACTCTAGTGAAACTTTTCCTTTTTTGTCTATTTTCTCCTGATAGAAACAGCACCAAAGGAGATGCAGAAAACATTGTCCCTTGAATTATATTTAAAATATTTAAAAATTAAATAAATTCTCTTAAATCCTATGATTATAATGCCAGTGATAGTAAAGATACAGTAGCTTTATATTAAATTATTCTTTTACCTTAGCATCATGTGCTTTAGAGAAGACTCTCATTCATTCTTCTACAATGTGTTCAGAGATTATTCATATAAAGATTTATTTTCTAACTTTCGGCTGGGAGCATCCTAGTTTTAGTTACACTGAGTGAAGGAAACAAATAAGAAACCCACTCAGAAGTAAATGTATAGGCAATCCCATTGTCTGTTGCTGCAGTATAAAACAATTACAATGTCTTCACATTTTTAAAAATTTTATTAGTACAATTTATACAACATGCAGTCCTGACATACAGTTATTTTTAGGATTAACAAAAAGGATAGCATTTGTACCTAAATTATACCTCCTCCTGTTTGACAAGTTTTCAGAATGTGATGGTATGATGCTATCATTATCCAGATTGATTTTTAACAGATTGTATTATTTGTGAGCACTCTCATTATCCTTTGAGATCGAGCAAGTGGCTAACAGTTGTAATGGATAAACCTGACTCATGGGCATTGTTCTTGGCACACTGTGTGTGCTCACAGCGCAGCCCTCTGTTCCAGACACTGGGCTCAGCTAGAAGATAGACAAGCCAAAGTCCTGCTTCCACAGGAGCTCCTGGTCTAGTGAACAGGAGAAACATTCAATGGCCTGTGGTCATAAATTTTACTTGCAGCTGTGCCTTATGGTGAGTCAGTAGTTTATGACTGAAAATAGCAATTCCACCTGTCTCTAGCTGCTACATTCCAATGTGGGCTGTTTGCTACATTTATTGCCAAAAAGACTGCAATGAAATCATGACATTTGCAGCCAGCTTTATCAATTCTAAAACCATCCATACCTCCAAAATCTTAAAAGGCAAATAGAAAATAATTTGCAATTTGGAGGTGTCATGAAATTTATGATTGCTTAAAAGTTTTCTTTGAGTGTGAATAATGAGAAGGAATTAAAGTTAAAAACTATGGTTATCAGTGAAAGAGAAAGGGAGATAGACATCTCTTTAAAATGCAAAATGCTAAAATAAAATTCACTATAGCAGCATACAATCTGCATACTATAAAATTGTCTTGATTTTCCACATTTCAGTGAATTACAGTAGTTTATAAATAGCTGCAAAAGGAGCTTTTTTCCTATATCTATTAGATTAAATTACTTGAAGGCTAGTGTCTATGCCATTTGTTTGTTCGTTCTTTCATTCATTCATTCAATGTCAGTAAGTATTTACCAGATACCTACTGTGTGGTACACAGTGGGGGTATATTAGCAAATGAAAGAAAGCTCCTTGTAGAACTTCAATTCTCAATTATTTTTTGGAGGGGTGCAAAATAAACAAATATATATGTTAAGTGGTCATTAAGTGCCAATAGAGAAAAATATAACAGGAGTAGAGAATAGTGGAGTGTATATGTGGGAAGAAAGTGCTTTTATATGGGGATGTCCTAGAAGGCATCTCTGATAAGGTGGCATAAATGCTTTTACTCAGGGGGATCTCTTAGTCCCTCTCTGCCCCTGGCTGAAAAGTTACCCTAATTTCTGCAAACTTCGTTGATGCAGCTACAAAATTCCTTCTCTGTCTTGATTCATTCTGCTTCATCACTCATGGACCTATCATCAGAACTTGTTTCCACAAAACTTCTGTTTTTTGCTTAATGTTTCTCACCTAATAATTTAGTCTCAGGATTTTCAGACTTTGCTGACTTTGTTTCTAAACTACCTCTTTGGCTTTTAAGTCAATTAATTGGATTTACCATTAACAATACATGGGTATCTCAAACTTTAGAACTGAGTTAGTTCTATTTCCTTGTTTTGTCTTTTCTCTCTCTCTCTCTCTCTCTCTCTCTCTCTCTTTCTTTCTTTCTTTTTTTTTTTTTTTTTTTTTTAAGAAATGAGGTCTCCTCCTGTCTCCCAGGATGGAGTACAGTGATGGAGTCATAGCTCACTGCAGCCTCGAACACCTGGCCTCAAGCAGTCCTCCTGCCTCAGCCTCCAGGGTCACTGGGATTATAGGCATGACAGGCTAAGCCACCATACCGAGTGTGTATTACCAGATATTTGATTTTAAGCCTTTTAGGAATAGCTCATCTAAGTTAAAGATTTTAAAGGAGGGAGAAAAATTCTTACTTACAGCTTTTCTTTCCTCTGCCTAGCAATCTCTGAGTGTGGAGGTAGCCTTTCATGTATGAAATAAGTTCCTATTTACCTCTAAAAAGATATAGTTACCCTCAAATTCTTCATCCAGCCTCTCATTCTAGTGCAGCTTGACAGCAGACCTATGATGAGAGACTGTTCTGGAAGAAGTAGCATTGACTTATTTTATTACATTTTGTTAGGCAGCAGTGACATAGGAAATAATATGGGTTTGATATTTTCATATTTACTCCTTTACCTTAAAGGAAGAATGAGGACTCCTTTTTATGTTATTTATCCCATAATATTGTGACTTTTAAATCAGAAGTAGCCAGGGATATTAGAAAGAGATGATAGGTTTTTTATCCTGGGAAAGAAAAAAAAAAAAACAATTTGGAGTTTTATTTTTTACATTGAGTCAAAAAGAGTAGAAAGCAGATATTCATAGGTCATCAGCATCTAATATAATAGGCTAAAAAAGCAATTTAAAAATATGAAACTGAGTAAGTGTCATTCTCGTTTGTGTACTGGAATGAAATTGTCCCATGCTAGTAAAGAAATAACAAAGGAAAAAATGCTTTTAAACATTGCTGTGATGGGGGAAAATATAACATTTCTATTTATAACTTGTACAAAATCCCACATAAAAATAGCTCCAACTAACAGATTTGCTCATATCTGGAATACAAAGTTGTTGCTGCCAGTGATTTGAGGAATTCTAATAAGAAGAATAACAGCATTGGTAAATATGGAAAATATATCATCTTTTCTTTTTCCTCAGTTTTCATATGCAGAGAAAATTATAGCTAGTGAAAAAGTTCTGGGTGCTGTATTTTACATTTTGTTATTTTCTAGCCTGTCGGTCTCTTTTCTTTTAAGGAAAATGATACATTTTCACCCTTTAATCCTACCCCATGAAATGGATATATTGCTGATAATTGTATCTCTGTCAATGAAATATTTGTCAGCTAATAAATTTAATATTCTTCTAGAGACTGATTTTGTGTGACTGATGTGACAGCAAAAATATTAAAGAACCTCAGATTAATGAAACCATTCTTTCTCTTATTTTCAGCGAAGTTTCTTGGGCTATGCCAGTTTTAAAGTGGGAGAGCTACTGAAGTCAAAGGAGCAATTGCTGGCCCTGAGCCTGAGGTGGGTCTCTTTGTTTACAGAAACACTATTAAAGTTAATAACCCAAGATATTTATTGATGGCCAGTGTGTTTGAAAAGTCACAATTCTTACAGATGTTAGATGTCGGCTCTCAAATAGCTAATGTTCTCCACTGCAACAAGTTATAGTGAAATAGCAATTATTCAAATTCACATTGAAGTTCACTTTTCAGGTTGTGAAATGTTATTAGCCCTTGTAAGAAAAAGAACAATATTAAATTATCATTAAAGTGATGAAATTATTTGAAAGTAAGAAAGTAAATTATGATCTTGTTATTAAATATTTTCCCCTTAACAAATGTTACTTTTTAAATCAAATAACTTTCTAGATTTGAAATATGTTAGAAGCAATATCGTAGTGTGATGATAATAGAGAGTATGCTTATTTTTCTTTTTTCAGTCTATTTTGGTGCTATACTATTAAACAACTTGTAAGTTAAAACACATTCTTGGCACAGACAATAGATCATAGCTAATTCTGAGTATAGTTTGCTTTGAAACAAAGATGAGACAACAGTCTTTAGGAAGTCACACACTAATTACTAAGAAGAACATAAAATAAATTTTTCATTTTAAATTCAAAGCAAATTTGAAAACTCAAATTTTGAAAGAATTGTTTTCTAACTATATAATAACTTTCATAATTATGCATACATTGGAAATACTTCCTTGCAATATTTTTATACTATAAATGAATACAAAAATTTTATAGAACACTATTTGTAAATCTTAAGATGCTCTTATTTTGATGAAACATGGAGACCACTTTCAAGGAGCTGGACAATGTCTTAAGTTTGTCCCCTTCGACCAAGGACCCACTTGTAATCAATAATTTATTTCAGTGAAGATGTGATGGCTTATGCTAGCATCTATAATCCAGGATTTCTCTTTTTCTGATTTTTTTCTATATTATTGTATGGGCAAACATATAAAAATCTTTAGTTTTAGAATGTTATTACCAATACAGTTTTACTGCTGTTATTGTTTTCAGTTTGAAGTGTAAAGTGTCAGCTAAAAAGGCTGGCTATGAATGTCACAGACAATCTAGAAAATATAATCATTCTTGCCTGACTGTTCAATCTGATCCATATGCCCCTGGATTCATAACATGAGATATCAAACACTGAGCTATCTTAGGACTCCTCACAGTCCACATGTTTCGTAGATAAGATGAATAGCGTGTTCTTCTTCATCTTACTGACTCACAGGCCCCAGTATTGATTACATCATAAAAGTCTTTAACATCAGCAGTATAGTACATAGCGATGCAACATTTAGACATTGGTTTGAAACAGAAATCAGGAGACCAGAAGTTCTTAGTAAAATTAAAATTAGTGAACACACAGTGCCTTAGAGAGGACAAGAACAGAAAGGTCAAATCTAGAGTATTGGTCTTGAAAGAGAAAAGGAATACCTAAATTTCACATTTAGATGAAAGCAAGACAAATTTCTTTACTTCTGATTTTAATACTCCTGATTCCTAGTCATTTGATCTTGATTATATAAAACAAATCGAACAACGAAGAATTGAGTTTTTTAGAAAAAATAATGTTAGAAAACCAATTCTGGAATGGCTGGATTATTATTTTTCCCAGTTTTGTGCTTTGCCAAGTTTGTTTCTTGTTTTCTGTCCCTATGAACCGGACAGATTATAGATTTATCATAGACTCTTGATTTCTTGTAGATTTTTTTTTAATATGATGTATTTTCTTTCCACTGATTCTGTCTCTTAAATATTGAGTTAGAAGAACATTAGGTCAGGAGTAAGCAACATTTTTGTTTTTTAATATATGACTTTGCACTGATTGTGTCTGATTTATTTATTTTATAGTTATGAATTTTAAAACAATAAATTTCTCAGATTTCTGTAAAACAAATTCACAGAAGTAAGAGGATTCTTTGATGATTAATAAAGTTCATTTTCTTCATGGTTAATTTTAGTTTACCAAAATCTTACAGTCGTGCTTGTATTCACTGTTTCTTTGGGAGCTTCTTATCAGATAATTCATATTCTAAAACTTTTAAGCAAATTCCACAGAACATCATGATTTAATATGGCTTCTGTGTCATATGTGCTTTGAACTGGAGATTAAGGGCAGGCAATTTATTGTCCTTTTTTTCTTGCAGAAAACTTAAAGAAATAAGACACATGCATATAATTTATAGACTTAGACTCAAATTTAATGAAATATGGTAGTTTTAAAGATGTAGAACAACATTTGTTTATCTGTATTGGGGAAAATGCCTCTAATGTATAAAGTAGTTTCTATTCATATGTCATCTTTATTTAAATGCACAGTTTACTATGTTTCTGAGTGTTCTAGCATCCCAAATGGACTTGGTATCTCTTTAGTAATATTGTCTGTATGTTTACATTTCATCCACTCTGTTTCACTACTTTGCATTTGGCAGTTCCTGTTTCCTCTGACTTCTTTTATATCTCAATTATATTTTCTGGTTTTTGTTTCTTAATTCATTGCTGTGTACTCCGACTTCTAGACTTGTAAACAAAGTAGAGTACCTGTATAGAGGATTACAATTATAGCCATGAAAGACACTTGATAATATTATGTGAATGATAATAATGATAATTAGAATGACAACAACAAACTATGTGCTTTGTGCTCTCATAAGGATATTAGAGATGTCTCATTGGCCATCATCGAACTAGATGCCATTATTAATTTCCATTTCACAAATCAAGAAAATGAGGTCTAGAAAGCAGTTAAGTAATTTGTGTAAAGTTATAATGCTCTTAAATGGAAAAGGCAGGTTATGAAATCGCACATTTCTGACCACAAAACCCATGATTTTAATGACTTTAATCTTGTCTCTTTGAACAAAAGAGAAGACAGAGAACCAGTAGAAATTTATATTACATGTTACGTAACTTACTAATGGCAGAGCAAAGCAAGGACTCAGGCCCAGAACCAGTTTTTCACAGTTTCGTCCATGTTTGACTTAACCACTGTGCCTGGGCTTACAAAAGGTGATGACTAAAAGAGTGGTCACATGCAAGGGAGAACTTGGGAATGTTGATCATGATGGAAAAGTGGGAAGAGCCTACTAGTTAAGGGGGATTGAAGGCTGAGGGAAACCTATGGAATGTGTTCTCATCCTAGAACCGTGCCTTCATCCGGACCTCGATCTGGTTTGCTGCCGAAACACCTGATAATCATTTGCTCTACCAACCTGCCATAATTTTTGGGGGGACCAGACAAGCATAACTTTGGAACATCATAATCATGTCTTATGAGTTATGAATATAAAAGATATATAAAAGTTCATTCTTTCTATGGAAATGATACTAGCTGTCAGGGAAAAAATAAAGTACTTAAACAACCACAAATGCGAAACAACAACAATTACAAAGGTAAAATTTGTTTCCTAGGAAACTCATCTCAGAGGAATGACACAGAGGAAAGTGTTCCAGCCTTGTCATGGCTTTGTTGTGTGCCTCCGCACAGTTTGGATTTCACTCAGTGCTCATGCATTCAGCAAACTTTCACTAAGAATATTATATATTCTAAGTACAGGAGTATAGTTAATATATTTCCATTGATGTTACCAATTACATATTTAATGAAAAAAAATCTCATAGTGTATTGAGCATCTACTACCATGCAAGGAATATGTGAAGTACTTTTTGTGCTTTATCTTATTTAATCCAAGCAGCATTATCATCTGTTTTATATCAACTTGTCTAAAATTCTATAGCTGCTGTCTGTACAAGTGGAATTTGAGCTCAGTTTGGTCTAACTCCAAAGCCTGTTCTACTTTTGTTTTACTACCTAGTAGGAAGCTCAGGATCCAGTGGAATATTTTCTTCCTTCTCCATTTTATATTCTGTTGTTTAATGGGTTTTAGGAGTCTCAATTATTTTTTACTAATGTTTTATGTTAAAATTCAATTGTATCTGCCTGAAACATAGTAGAACTTTAATAATTGTTTTTGGAGTTTCAATTCATAATTAATACTTCCTTACATTTTTATGAATGCTAACTGTACTGCTAGCACCAAGACTTCATTTCTGGGTGGAACCTGTCTGAAGTGGTGAATATTATGCAGTCTAAGCATGAGGGTATTTCTGAGACAAGTAAATTTCAGAGTAATAGTGAGTGAAAGGTTGCAATCTGCTTTAAAAGCTCTAAGTCTTAGAAGCCACATTTACTTCAGTACAGGGCATTTTACCTTGTCACAGAAACTTTCAGTTCATCTTAACAAGAACTTTATTCTTTCTTTTGAAACCTTCTATATGTCACCAAAACCCCACTCCACCAATTAAACAAATTTTTGTATCATTTTATCAGGGTGAATATGATAAAAAGTTTTCTTGAATAGAGATGTGCAAGTATTTATTCATACAAAGGGAATATGCTTAGTTTTCATTTATTATTTCTACCACATTTACAGGAGTCCTTTTCAAGGAACAAATAACATAAAACATTGGTGATCTTAAATGCATATGTAATTATGTTTTATAATATATAGATGTATAGAGATCCTGTAAAAGAAAAGCATTTAACTTCTGTTTATTTTTAAATTTCTCCTACTTTATATAGTATTTATATATGTATATGTATGCAAGCATATGTACATGTATTATAGATTGTGTGGATGCATATTTGTTTGGGCATCTATATCATTTTAGAACATTTTGCTTCCTCACAAACTATGAATATTTATTTTCTATTTTTATCAAACGTTTATGCCTAGAGATGTAAGATCCTAATTGTGAGGTTTTAAACTTTTCATTTTTTGGCATTTTGCTTAATTAACCTCCTTAAATACATACACATGAACACACACAAAGTTTTGTAGTTTCTGTAAATAAAAAAACAACTAAAACTCCGCATATTTTTAACGTAATCTTCCAAATGCATGTTCTTAACTTGAAAGCTAGAAGTAGCGATAAGGAGGTGCTTCTTAGGCAATGATATATCATCTTCTATACAATCATAGTGAGCATGATAAAAAGATAA